AAGTTGTTTTAAAAAACCAAACTCTACCTATAAAAAAAGTTCAGGAAAAAAAGTCTCCTCCTCTTCCAAAACACCCCCTACAGACACTTCCTGACTTTCCAATTCCTCCATAAGGTCAGACGTCAGTGCTCTTTCTATTTACTCAAAACAAGCACATCAATTACTTCTTCATTTTAATTGACCTGCCAGAAGGAGTGTCCTCAATGAGCACCTAACTAGGGGAAGGAGCCTGTGGAAGCCATGTATGAGATCCACCTGGGACAAACTCAAATAAACATCCTCCCCCTCTCATTGTAGCCTTCACTTCTCTTCAAGAATCTTTTATTGCTTTCTATTATTTTTTTGCTGAGTAATTTTAAAGTCTAGCTATGGATCTTTTTTTTTTTTTTTTTTGGTTTTTTTTTTTTTTTTTTTTTTTTTTTTTTTTTTTTTTTTTTTTTTTTTTTCAAGTGAGAAAAGCCGTGGGAATACCTTTGTTTTCCCCTCCAGAGCTAGGACCCAGTGGAGTGGCTGGCTGGCTGGTTAGCACCTGTATCTCCCTCTGCAGCTCAGATCTGTACTTTGAGTGTGTGCATTCCACTCCCTAGGCCCTCATGTCACATCATCAGCACATATCTAACGAGCTGAAGCAATTCCCTTCTTTGAGGAAGGAGGCAGGCTCCAAGCAGAGGCAGGGGCAGTGGTGTGGCCAAAGGCAGCTCTGCTCACCCACATCCCCAAGGCTCAGCATCCATCACGGCTTCTGCTGGCTCACGGGAGGGTGACAATAAAAAAGCAGCGTGCACGCAGCTGTGTTTAACATCAGTGACAATCTGCAGAAGCGTAATTTCCTCAGTTTTTGTGAGATATTGCTGGCACTGGGCTCCTGAAAAATCTGCAGCAACAGGATTTTTGGTGAGAGTCTGGGTTTGTGCTCCCCCCCCCCCACCCCCCTCCCTAAGTTGTATCCAAGTTTTCTACTCATCATGAGGATTTAGTGATTATTAAAGGTCTATGGGATAACTAAATATACAGGCTTGGCAGTTGTAGTAGAGAATATTATTTTAGAAATGCTAACGATGTTAAATCCAAGGAATCCCACTCCTAGTACTCTGTAGGGTGATAAATCAGTGCAGGGGATATAAATATAAATTTAAAATCAGGTACATTTAAAAATCAGGTACACGACTGTAGATATTGGGTTTATGTGTCACTTAACTACCCTTAGTTGCTTAGGGTAGAAACTCCCACCCCCTTATGCTCTTTATTTTATACTCGAGTAAAACCATATCTATGTCATTCATGGGCTTCTAGTTCATGAGGACTTTTGTGCTAGAATTCAATGGAAATACATCATTCTGCAAGTATCCCCAGCTTTCATGTGAAGTAAATCCTTGCTATCCCTCCCCTCCCGATGCTAACTGTCCAGCTATGAAACCAGGGGGCTACCTGCCCTCCGAGTGAGATTTTATTGCTAAAATAGAGTAAAAATTGTTTTAAAACAAAGAACACACATACTTATAGTAAAACTCAAGTTTGTTTTACAATTAGAGAAAAGTCACATGGTCCCCCAAAAAACCCCATTTTATATATATATGTATTTCGAAAATATATTTAAAAACATAAAAAACTCTAGTTAAACATATATTATGTTAATCAGTACACTTAAATATAGCTCAATTATATTTACAATATGACGCAGTTGCTTTTAAATTTTAATGCCAATTTCAGTATTTTCCCAAAAAACCATAAAATTATATAAATATACAATAAATATTTATGTTACACAAGATGAATAATAGAGAACAAGGCCACAGACATGAACTTACAGTTGCAAGAGTCCTTTAACACAGCACTAGGCCTGCTGACATGCATGGAATACTTCTGTCACCAACAGACCACAGCAAGAGTTTAATGAAGTTTAATTAAGAGTTTAATCAAGGGATGTGAAGGAAAACCAACCCTCCTCTCTCTGTCTCTATGTTAACTAAAACTGCCCAGCCTGTGACTAAAACATCCCATTTAACTAAAACATCCCAGCCTATGGATTGTAAGGTCAGGCACGGCAGAGCTGTGGGGCTGCGGGTTAATTGCCAATATCAATAATGTCAATATATCAATCACTATTGCAGGTTAATTGCCAATAATATCAATTATTGATCAGTTACTGAGCACAGAGCTGGCAAATTCAGGGGAATATCGCTCTGCTGTAGGTACCAGGCACAGTTCTCCAGGTTAATTGCCAATATCACTAATATCAATATATCAATCACTATTGCAGGTTAATTGCCAATATCAATAATATCAATTATTGATGAGTTATTGAGCACAGAGCTGGCATGTTCAGGGGAATATCGCTCTACTGTAGGTACCAGGCACAGTTCTCCAGGTTAATTGTCAATATCAATAATGTCAATAATATCAATTATTGATCAGTTACTGAGCACAGAGCTGGCAAATTCAGGGGAATATCGCTCTGCTGTAGGTACCAGGCACAGTTCCCTGGGCTCCCAGCTATGTGGGCTGTCCTTCACCCCTCTGAACCCACCATCCCACTGCTCTCCTTCTGCCACACCTGCACCACTCTCACTGTGCCAGCTGATGATTTACAAGTGAAGGATACAGCCACAGTTAACTCTGGGAAGTAAGGAGCTTTATTTCTAGCATGATTTGTGCATTAACACTTCTCTTTTGGAAATTTCTTTTGCGATGGTAGTTATTTGATTCCTGTATGTGAATTAGACTACTGTCAGATCCTAGCTATCTTTTCCAGTCTAGATGAGTGATTTGTTTGTTATTCACACATCAGCATCATCCTTTCCTCCAAAGCAGCCAGCCCTTGTTTTGAGAGGAGCCAGCACTTCTCTGCTGCAGGTGAGGAGTACTGCTGAGAACAGCTCCTGAGCCCTGTTGGGTTTACTGAATGCAAATTACTCTACACGCACACAGGTGTGGCCCCAGGGGAATGAAATGGTCAGGTGGAAGGTGTACCTGCCCATGATAAAAGTGATCATTAAGGTCCCTTCCAACACAAACCAGTCCTTGATTCTATGATTTAATTTGCATGAAGAGTATCTGAGATGAAATTTTGAGAATTTCAATAAGGTTTTGGGTAGGGTTTTTTTTGTTTTTTTTTTTGGAAATGCCCATCAGCAATCGATGGGGAAGGCTGCAGTTTGAAGCTCAGGTGGGTCACACAACCCTCTCTTCTCACTCACAGTCTGGTGTGCACATGGCCACTGGCACTCTGACAGCAGTTACCCTCAGGAAGGGCTGCCCTTCTACTCAAAGCAGAAGAAATCACTGATGTGAAAGGGTCTGTTAGCTCCCAGCGATGACAAAATCAGTGTTAAGCACGCTCTTCAAAGAGCATTACTGGGGCAAACATATTTCTGTAAGCTTTGCCCAGTCAAAGTTTTAATAAACACAGATTCTACAGCATTCAGAAGCAGATTATATTCTGCAGTATTCTCCTACTTGTTCAGCTATTTTTTTGTCTCCAGGAACTACAAATATAGCCTGAGTCTCCAGTGAGCTTACTAACAAGTTATTTCAGCTCAGCGCACTGTGGCCAGTGTGCTGTGCACAGTCTCAGCCTCACACCTGCCTTTCAGCAGCACTTCTGTCAGGAGAGGGGGAGCACAGCGTGACCACATCCCTCAGACCTAAGCAAGCTAAGCCAACTCTTCCAGCACTCGCTCCTCCTCTCCTTCCAGAGCGGGTTTTTAGTGCCAGTATTTGCTTCACAAGGTAAGTCTGCTGGCAGAGGTGGAGCCACAATGCCAATTGCTCTCTGCTGGAAGCAGCTCCTCTCTGTCCCATTCCCAAGCTGCTTTCCAGGGCTCCTCAGGCACAGAGGGAGATGCCTCAGAGTTTGCCCACCAGCTCTGCAGGGCTGGGGCTGCTGGCACGCTGTGGAGGGGAAGGGCACCCACGCACATGGCCAAGCTCTTGCTCTCTACCCCAATGCACAGGACCACATTCTGTAATGACTGCAACTGGGACAGCCTCAGCCAACCCAAATCTCTGTACTTGTTCCCAAACTGGCTGAGCTACAAAGTCCCACAACCAGCCTGATTTCAGACCCGCCATCCTCTTTGCTAGACCCTTTTTTCTAGTGACACTCTCACCGTGCTCCACCAAGACATTTGATCCAAGCACAGTTTTTTATTATATGAAAATAATTGCTCTGAACACTATAGAATATTCTCTACATGACAAGCTCCAGTTCTATGGTAAGTGAAATACTTGAAGATCACAACCAATGTCCCTCCAGAGGGAGAAAAGGGGGGAAAAAATTCTCAAACGCAAGCAAACATGGTATAAGCAAATGCATGTCTCAAAAGACTGAAAATTGAAAAAGAAAGACAAAAATAAAACCCAACAACAACAAACCACCCCCCCAACAACTAAAAAAGCATGTTGCCATACAGTTAAATAGGTGTTGTCTTTAAGCCTGAAGTTCAACAATGTGAAGTGGAACATCACCATTCTTTTTCAGTTGCCTCTTTTTATTATTTTTTGTCAGTAGTCGGACTGCTATTGCAAACACCTTCACAACATACAAAAACCAAATTTTTTTCTAATCCAGAATAAGGTAATGAATTTTTTGTTTTTCAATCTGATGGGAGTTCAAAAGTAAAAGAGAAACAGTAAAACTATGACAACAGCACCTTGACATTGTTTTAATTTCAACGCTATCAGAAGTTAGAAGCAGTAAACATATATACTAACAGACTAAAGATACTTACTGTCTAAAATGTAAACAGAATGTTTTGGTTCAATTTATTTTTCTGAAAGAGGACAGTTTATCATTAATTCACAATTGAAGCAGCATGCAATTTTATTCTTTTTTTTTTTTTAAATTTTTTCTATTTTCAATTCTTGGCAACGGCGACAAACCACAATGTTATGGAGGAATGTAATGCAGACTTTTTTGTTCGTTTGATTTTCTTTTTTTTTTTGGTTTTTTTTTTTTTTTTTTTTTTTTTTTTTTTTTTTGTTTGTTTGTTTGTTTAAACTTGTGCGCAAATGACTATTGTTCCCCTTCAGGTCATGAATATGTTCAATAAATAGATTGTGTAACCACTGTACTGTATAAACTTCAGTCATACATGCAGTCCATAAAATTATTTTTTACCGAATAATTTACCCTGTTATGTATATATACAAATAGATAATTTTGTCTCAATATAATCTATACAACACGAATGCACTATCTTCCCCTTTTAATGGTCAATGTACATACACAGGAAGTGTCTATCCTTATGAAGCGCCAGCCAACTCTCTTTTTGTTATCCATGGTGAGAGCTCTCACGTAAGACTGCGTAGTTCGGCACTGCGAGTTCCAGTGCCTCTTGTCTATGCCCCTGCAGCCCTCCTTTGTGTACCCCTTGGGGTTGCATTTGGTCTCGTAGAAGTATTGCTTCAGCTGGCCTTTGGGCACGGGGACTTTCTCCAGCACGGTGACGGTGGCCCCGGACATGTCCACCGCAGTCTTTTTCTCCGCCGCCGTCACCCACTCGCTGGTGCTGTCGCACACGCTCAGCTCCCCGCGGCGCGCCGGGTCCGAGTGCCGCCGCACCCGCATGGACATGTTCGCGGCATCCAGGTAGTTTTTGTACTCCTCCAGCAGGAACAGCAGCGGGGGTTCCAAAGGCACTTGACTGCTCAGCATGACTCGGGATGTGTACAAGTCTGCATCCTTGTTTCCCTCGCTGGGCTGGATGTCCTGCTCCTCGTCTAGAAGCTCCTCTATGACGTGTTCAAAAGTGTCTGCCAACGACGTCAGGCCCCTGGAACCAGCACTGGGCCCGTTGATGCTCTCCAGAGTCCCGTGGGTCCGGAGCCCTGGGTAAGCCAAGCTGCCTTGTCCTCTTAGACTGGCTTCTTTCATTGGGGCAGCTTTCATGCAAGTGAAGTATGAGATAACCATAGTAAAGAAAAGGATGGTCATCACTCTTCTCACTTGGTGGAACTGTAAAAACCAAGAGAAATAAATTAATTTACAAGGTTTGGAGTAATAAAAATTCACCCAAGTTGTCACAAGACTGTGCATTTTCTACAGAGGTGTTCTGCATGCAGTTGCAACTCATTACCAGTGATAAAGCATTATCTTGTTAAAGAGTATTCTTTAAATTAGAGTTTCAGAAAAAACAGAGGCTGCAGCACAGGCAACATAGATCCCAGCCCCTCGGTTCTTACACACTAAAATCCCTCTGAGGCAAGTATTAGATTAGATACTAGACAGAATCCTTCTTTATTGACCAATTACACCTATTCCAAGAACAGCAAAAGCAGAACTGCTATTTAGCAATACAACATTTCAGCAATAAAAGGCAGCTTCACAGCTGTGAAAGGCAAGACTTCCATTTCAAGCACAAATGTAAATACTTGATTTTGAGGATCTCTCTATGGCAGAAAATAGTTCACAATTCTGCCCACAAAAAACCCAAACAAACAAACAACTGAGCAGCACCAGGATAAACTGCATTTGTGTTTTGACAGCCATCTTCAAAACATGGGAAGAAGCCATACAATTCTGAGGTCTCTGCAGGTCAATTTCTCATCTAAACCTAGAAGGTACACACACATAAATGCAGAACAAGAAAGTGGCCTGGAGCAGTAAAGTCGAGCAGGACAGATGCTTGCATCACGTGAACAGCACGGAAAGGGCGTGCTGGAACACAGAGCTGGCAAGAGCCACTCTGAAGTGACAGCGGCAGAACCACTGCTCTGTGCTTCTCCAGGGCCCCACACCACCTGTCCTCAGGTGGGCAAAGCATTTCTTCACACCTTACAAGCATTAGTTAGAGCCCAGAGGCCATCATGAACCCCAGCATCACCAGCCCTGTTGCCACGCTGAAACACAGCAGTTTGCCTGTGTTTTCTCTCACATTCTGCCCCAAAATCTGGCACACGTTAAGGGTTTATGGGTATGCTCATCTCTGTCCTCACTGAGAGGGGAGGGTAGCACCAGAGAGGAGTGCTGGCAAGGCAATCCCTCATCAGGCTGGAATCAGCACAGCTCTCTCCTGTCAGGACTCCCAGCCGTGGGGAGCTCACATGAACTCCTTCCCAAGTGCTTGGCTAAGGCTGCTCAGGTAGAAATTGTTTCCTCAAGTGCAGAGTAGATGCTTTAAGTCCTGTTACAAGAACGGCCCCCAAATCCTGCAGTGACAGAGAGCCATGCCTTCTGTCTGACCCCCAGCACTACTACAACATCTAGCACATCCAGTTGTTATTTTTTTCCTTCAGGTCCCTCTTCTCACCAGTTCTGTTTGCTAGAAAGCAATGGCATTGTCCACATTTTTGAAAAAGCAGCTAATGCATGTTTCAGAGCTTTTGAAGTTCATTTGGAAGTACCTCATACTTGGCAACATCCATTGGAGTAAATGCTATTTCTGTTTGCCAACAGGGTGCTATGTAAAAAGACTTACTTTATCTGCAGCAAATGTACTGTGGGAAATGAGTACTATTATGACTTAACATGGAAAGGCAATTTATCATAAAACATACAAATAAAATGAAATGTGCACTAGAAAGGCAATGCCCAAAATGTACTTAATGAAGGCAGGGTGGGAAGCGTTCAGGTTTATGTCCATGCTCCCCTCATCTCCAGACCCCCACTAAACAAGATTTTGGCCAAGAATCCTTTCTAACCCAGCACAACTCTTCCTTCATCCCTCCATCCCCCTTCCTGTTTAAGAGTGTTGTTGTGGCATAGATTTATTAAGATTAAACAAACCTGACATCTGTGACTCACAGGAACACAGTGTTTGCTCTAACCATGCAGAACATTAATATTTTGCAGGTTTTTTTTCCTGTTGGGATTTTTAAAACATTCTACAGGGAGTGTCAGATTTCTTCCTCAAAGGGGAGGAAAAGAGGCGAGGTGATTTACAAAAGAAGATTTACAGAGGTGATTTACAAAAGAAGGAAAAAGATTGCTAGTCTTCCTTTACCAAATGAGACATAAAACAACTCTTCTTGTCTTGAAATGGGTGGCTCAGCTAACATACAAATGCAGAGCCAGTGGGACAGAAAAATAATATTTATACACTCTCTCTTCAGAGAATTGTTTAATATAAAACCTAAAATGAAAAGAACCCCAAACACTCACTCTGTGGCCACCAGAGCAATGAACAGAAAGCAGATCTTCTGGCTCCTGACCAAATTGCTGTTATTTTTATGGAAGCAGTGCCCAGAGGTCCTGGCCAGTTCCTGACTCTGTGGGACAGTCTCTCTGAGCACGTAGGGCACAAGAGAGAGGGCACAAGGGGCACCACGACCTGCACAGAGCAGGGAGAAGTTTGTCCCCAGCAGGTAAGCACAGCAGCTGGAGCTGATCAGGGCTTTTCAAGTTAGACAGGTGAACAAAGGAGAGAACCACCCCTGGACCAGGCCACATCCTTCACTGCTGTCACTGGGCTGTTCACCTGGCACAGGGTGAGAACAGAACAGCGCCTGTGCAGCTTCACTCACAGCAAGCTGCGAGAAATTGTGTACAACTAGATTCTGAAAACCAACATTTTTTAGACAGGCATTACCCACATAACATACTGATGATACAGTGCTTAAAAGCCAATCCCCTTCCTCCCAATTAAAACTGTAGAGGAGCATGTCAAAGTAAGCTTTAGCAGCACAGATAAAGGAGTATTGCCAGCAAGAAACCACAGATCAAACATCTACTGCTCTGCAAGTGAGCCCCAGACTAAACTGAACTCCAGAAGCAGGATGTAAAAACATTCTTCTCTCTATCTTGGCAGCGACTTGAGCACTATACAGAGTCCTTATCTTTGGCAGCAACATTATATCAAGTGATTTAATACAAGGGTGTAGTATTTTATCACCTGGGAAATATCTTCATTTTAGAGACCATAGCAATTTGTATTAGCAGTTTCTAAAAATCGACTAGTTCAACGTGCTATAGCAGAATAAGATATCTCACTTCATGGGTAGAGTCCCACAACCTTTCAGCTAGTGTTGAACTGACACACGAATGCATGTGTGTTGGTTTTACCTGGCCTAATTTTTGGATGAGGAGGGAATAAGCCAGCCACAGAAGTGATTTTTTTTAATACCTTTTAAGTTTTGAGCCTATTTTGCCCTTAAAGTGTTTCTTTCCAATCCTTACCTCAACTCATGAGCCCCTTTGGGTTTTTTCTGCCCTTCCTCTGCTCAACTATAGCAGAGGAGAATGGATGAAGAGTTTTTTTTTTCATGGGTGCCAGCATTCAGCCAGCATCAAACTGCGACAGCATGGTTCATCTCTTTCTTAATGAGGCAGGACTAATATCCCAATGCAGCACCAATAAGGTCACTGGAACACTTTGGATGGCAGCTTCCAGTCCTTTTCCTCTCTGTTCTCTAACCACCAAACCTTCTTTATATTGCATTATATTATAAAGATTAAAGATACTGTTACATTAAGTGTCTTGTAAACCCCAAACATTAACATATTGTGTACATCCTTCTGATTATGAGCCAGTCAGTGTGCCACCCTGTGTGGAAGGGGAACTGGGCTGGGAACACGGGAGAAGACTTATTTTCCTATTTTCCCATCCTGCTATTACTGAGCAAGATATTGATCCTCTCTGTGCTGGGCATACCCACCACTGAGAGGCCCTGCACGGAGATGGCCCAGGATTTCTGCGTACATCCATGCCTGGCAGACTGAGCCGCTATTTCCCACGGAGGCTCACCAGCGCTGAGTTTTTCTTAACTGGAGCAACCTGGCTGATACTGCATCTTCTGAGGGCATCAGTACATCTGAGTGCCAGACAAACAGTGTAGCCATGACTACTTGTAGTAAGATGTGCACCCAGAAACACGCAATAAAAAAAAATCACAGATGTTACAACATCAGTCTGTAATCCTACAATACACTCATTTTCCCTCCCTTCTCAGGTGTAGGAGGTTCAGGTCTCTACTCCACACCTTCTAGAAACAACAAGTAAAGGCTGCAACCCTTCTGCACTCCTGTTCAGCCACACCTCTGGTCATAAAAGACTGCAGACCTGTCCAGGAGAAGAGATCTTGGCCCAGCTGTTGTCCCAGGCACTGCACACCCACTAACGTGCACAACACAGACACACAGCAGCCCCCCAGAGCCAGCTGGAACTGCTCCCTCGGGACACGAGGTGTGTCTGTCAGAAACCACACCCGAGACCAGCTTGGTGAACACTCCATTCTCATGGCCACCAGAACGTCCCCTCTGCTTTCACACAGCACAGTGAAGCTGGGGCAATGAAAAGAGGTCACCCACTGGAGTGGATCTCAGGAAGATGTGACCTACTTCTCACCCCAATAAAGTCCAACAATTCCAGCTAGAGCAAGGACACGGAACTGTGGCAGGCATCTCCACTAATGGGAAGCAGGCTCATTAAATGAAGGTCATGTCAATTAGCTACAGCTACTTTACATATGCAGTCAATTACCTTGCTGCACTATTCATTTCAGTATTTGTATTTAAAGAAGATTCATCACTTAATTGTTTTATTTCATTATTTTTAGGTATTTTAAGCAGAAATCCAGCAGCTTAGCAGGTTATATTTCCAGCAAAGGGACCTAAGGAATAGCTGTGAACATGTACTTGCTTTCCTGCATCCCAATATGTGCCATGTGAGTTGAAATAACTTTCAGTAGTGAATAGATTCATGCTTTAATCTCCAGAAAGTAGTGCGTGAAGGAAGATAAAATTAGCAGCAAGTGACATTCGTTTTGTGCCTTGCCATTTTCTAAGCTCTTTACACAACAGTTCAATTTACTAAACCCTACTGAATGCCACAGGCATGAGTTTCTGCTTTATGCATCATTACCAGAGTGTGTGAACAGATATCAAAATAGGATGCATGTCAGCACATGATTTGCAAAGACTAAATGTACTGAGAACAAATAGTATTAACCTTTATCACATGCATAACTGGATGTCTGACACACTCTACTTATCCTCAAGGCTATTTATGCAGCAAACTA